ATCTATTAAGACAACCTTTTTTTCGTATTTGCGCGATGGAAATAGGAACTGAAAATGACTGGGAGTTCCATTCCCTTGAACTTGATGGCAATCCAGGGCGTCGGAAAGGTCAGAGACTAACCTCGTTACTGCCTTCTTGTGCGAGAATTGCGAAATTATTGTTTTTGTTACTACTATAATCATCAATTTATCATCGTTTTTTATTGTTATCATTACTGTATATATGCTTCTTCATCATTATTTCCTCCCAATAACCGCTGCCTCATTCTCGAATAAAATGTGCAGTTTCATCGAGCGACAAAAAAAAAAAAAAAAAAAAAAGATAATATGCCAGTTCGACGGAACATTCATTTCACGGAAAAGATAGATAAGGGCAAGAAATACCAATATCCAAATAAAAATAATATAAACAGAAAACGGGTCTTAACGAAGCTGAATCATTAGAAAGTTTTTCTTGGGAAGAATGGTTCTGAATCACTAAAGTTGTTTTTTCCTGTCAAACATTCCAATGGGATATTAAGAGCACATGAATCGATGGAATATTTCATGATAAAAAAACTTCCACAACATCGTTTCCTGAATCTTCTTATCTGTGAGTTCTTAATCAGTACTGCAATGCTGCATAATCTGCTGCATTGTGGAACTTTGAGGCAGGGAAACTGGCATGAACGGGAGATAGAGAGAGAGAAAATTGAACGAGATTATGGAATAAAAGGACAAAGAAAGACAGAGGCATGTAACTGGATAGATATAGGATGGAGAAAAGAGGAATGATAAATAGATGGCGATAAATTGAGAGAGAGAGAGAGAGAGAGAGAGAGAGAGAGAGAGAGAGAGAGAGAGAAGAGAGAGAGAGAGAGAGAGAGAGAGAGAGAGAGAGAGAGAGAGAGAGAGAGAGAAGACACGGACAGTAAAGCTCCATCTAGATAAAACAAGAACAAAAATAAAAAAAAAAAAACACGAAAACACCATCGACTAACAAGCGATCATACGCACGACTCGCAAATCCGCTTTGTTCTGGCACGCGAGCCGTATGTTGACAGCGAGAGGTTGCGCCAGAATAGAAAAAAAAGTAATTATTGCGTCAGTAGCGATGACGAAAGCCCTGGAAAACCTTTGCAATGCCTTGACACCCCACGACAAACTGCTCTCCGATACCTAAGCACTCTCACCCTGACAATTCTGACTTCGAGATAATGAATGTAATCTGTACTCCCATCATGGTGCCATTGCCGATATCTGATAGGACGGAGCAACTGCAGATAGACTTGTCACCTACCTCCTCCTCGGGGACGGGCTGACCCACGTGGAGGTCGTCTTTGCTACGTCGGGCTTGTCTCTCATCGTAGCTGGGTTGCTGGACGAAGAGCGTTGACAGAGGAACCTGTTGAGGTGTGGTTTAAGCTGTGGTGACTCGCCGACTGATGCGTTGTCGCGGCTGCTGCTGACGATGGCACTGCCACAGAGCGACTGGCGAGAGAGGGAGAGAGAGAGAGAAGCGTGTGATCAACCTGCACGCCTGCCACGAGGTCAAACGAGGTTGCTCACGTGGTTAGGTAGAGAGTGAAATGGGGGAGGGTCAAGAGTGCCGCTCTCCTCACGAGGTCACCCAGTACGAGGAAGGGTGAGGGAGGATTTGATAAGCTACTCTGCAGTGGGGTAGGGCGAGGGGAGTAGTTATAATATACGTCAATCTATATACTTTAATTTATAGTTTCAAGATTTTTTTTGAAGACAGGTTTCTCGACGCCAAACCGAACACTGAAAAAGTCCTTTGAATAAGAGGGAAAAACTTTCCAACATCAGGCAGTGCCAGCGGCCATCCCTGGGTGATTAACATACTGAAAATATTTCCGTTGCTGGTCTGCCACATGCGATAAAGAAAGGAAGGGTGAACGAAGGTGTGGGCGAAGGGTGAGAGGGTGTGGGCGCAGTTGATTGGGAGGAAATTCCCATTCAACATCTTGAACCCACCCGCCGCCCCTCACACTCGAACGGAAAAAACAATGGAGAAAAACCCGTATGTGATGTAACTTATTTTTTTGTTCAGCCAAACGGTGGTCCTTTGCAAGCGTGGTCGAACTGCACACTCGTAGAAACGTTAGCTTATCACTAGTTTCCGATAGAGATCCACACCATGCAATCTTCTCTTTCCACGCTGCCAGTCTCACGTTTGAGTCACTTGACGTACATCACCCTCGGCACAATATGTTGCCAAAAACAGAGCAAAAAAGGGTTCTTTTCCCGGCTAATACAGACACACAATTATGAATGATACAAGCCAGGTTAATCACCTTCTCACCGGTAAAACGAAGGGAAGCACACAGTGCCTCGACAGGTGGGAACTCACCACTGAGAAAGAACAACGAACACTCGACCGTTCGCCACAGACAGCTGTTCGAGCCGCACTACCGGGGTTGTCGGACGGCGCTCGCTCTTATATGCCCTTTAGGCGGCTACAGGAGTTATCAGGCCGGGCCAGAGCAAGGGTTTGCGCTGGCCCTTTGTGCTGGGCTGGACCTCCTAATGGCCTGCACGTGATGCTTCTGTGATGAGGGCTGGCCAGGAAGGGCTGTGGAATGGAAAGCAAAGGGGTGGGGAAAAGGCCTCATTTGAAGAGGGAAGGAGAAAGATATATGAGAAAGGGAGAGAGAGCGAGAGAGAGAGAGAGAGAAAGAGGGGGAGAGCGAGAGAGAGAGAGAGAAAGAGAGGGAAGGAGGAGGGACGAAAAGAGAGAGGGGAAGCAAAGAGAGAGGGCGTGGGGGGAGAAGGGGAAGGTGGGAGGGAGGGGAAAAGGAGTGAAAGAGAAATATGATCGGTGGCCCTTGAGGGAAAAAGCGAAGGAGAGATTTAACGTTTGAAATAAAACTGTCTTCTCAGGTTTGCTTCGTTTTTGACAACCAAGACGGTCAACAACCCTTGTCAGACAGACAGCTCAGCAATAGGTTTCCAAGATTTTTTTAAAATTGTAACCCTATTATTCCAAATTCCAGCGTTCATAGCATACACAATAATCGGAAAATAATTAAAGTGGGAAAATATAGTAGGCTCCCAGTCCCTCGACGCAATCCTTTTCCCACTGACGAAGGGAAACTTCAGCGGGGCGGATTGAGGAATGACCAAGCAAAGGAAACACCGACGAGCCATGACGTCATAGAGGGGTTCTTCCCCCGCCGCTCGCTCCGCCTCTTGCATAACTCGCGGGAGAGAAGCAGGGTGAGGTGGGTGACGCGGTGGGTGTGGATGTAGGAGTTGGATGGGGGGGCGGGGTGAAGGACAGGAGGCAGGGGGTGTGGGGGTGAGTCACGCCCTTTCTCCCGCGAGGCGCCTAGGAACAGATGCCACACCCGGAAGCACTTGGCGAAGGAGGAGGAGAAGCGGGAAAACTTGAATACGCGGCAACAGCAAGAATAGGTGACGAGTGGCAACAACTGATGAGTGGTGCAACAAAGGAGGAGGAGGAGGAGCAGGAGAGCAGGATGGGAAAGTGGATGACACACTGAGTCAATGACACACCAACGGACTTGTCTGGCCGAAGACGGACGGGCGCCCGCGGCAGAGAAAAAAAAATGTCTGGAGGGGGGACAAAAAACAAGTGAACATCGCACGCATTACAGCAATAGCCTATTACTGTTAAAACGAACACAAAATCATTCCGAGATGACACGATGAGAATATCGGTGCTCGGGGCAATCCAACTACAAAGAAATAATCTATAATAGACCATTATAATTTCAAAAAAAGGAGTGGCGAACAGAACTGGCGAATGCGTACGTGACTCGGAGCAGCATACCTGCACTGGCCGTTGCTGATGTCCTTGTATTAATTAACAGCCATTTGAATTTTTGAAAATTTGAATGCATAGTGACCGGTGAATTAATTGAACGCTTATTTCATTAATATACAAAGGAATTGCACCTGCAAGGTAACGACGAAGCGCCCTCACGGAATTCTTTGAAGATACGATTTTATGAATAAAATGAAACACCAAAATGATGGAAGAAATGAAAGCAAATTTAATATTATTTAGCCTGTTTCTCTCAGAAATAAACATCACCTCGGAAATTTCGTCATTTCTGCTTAAGTACAAAAAAATATTGATACTAAATACTAAATAGATGTTAGGACTGAAATTGATTTGTTCGAAGCAGAATAATGGTGATTGTTTCAATAGTAGTTTCGATAACGATAACTGTAATAAACATGGCAATAAAGACAAAAACTTTAATAACAACATATGATATTAACTATAGTGATACTGAGTTACTCATGATCATAAATTTCATGGCAAAATGTCAAAAAATAAAGGAAACAATAAAGAAAGTAAAAGCATACAAAGAGAACTGACAATATCTCCAACATCAGCAATTAATGACAAATGTATCGGCATTAATAATGGTAGAGAATTTAATTGTCAGCGCTGAGAATGATAGATCTAGTGATGCTATTGGCAATAGTAATTATACTAATTATCATTAATATCAGAATTTGGTATAAGACGAAGAGAGAAAAGAGAAAATAGAAATATAATGATAACAGGAAAAGGGAAATTAAGTCAGTTATTCTTATATACTAAGCAGAAATTAGTTATTTTTATAAATTCAAAGACATTTCGGTGAAGGAAACAAAAGACCAGAGAGAGAGAGAGAGAGAGAGAAAGAAAAGAAATTCAATTATTGAATCAAATTATCATTAGAATTGTATTAAAAGATTAAATTATTAGATGATTAAAATCAGTGTTTGGCTGTGTTGCTTTACTTTCACCTTTATGATTATTCATTGTTATCTTTATTCTTGAAGTGGAATCATGTTAGGAATACCAATAATATTCGTTCATATTATGTAGGATACCAGAAAATATGATTAACTTGTTTTGTATTTTTGTCTGTCCTGTCTGTCTGTCTCTCTCTCTCTCTCTCTCTCTCTCTCTCTCTCTCTCTCTCTCTCTCTCTCTCATCTTCATTCTCTCTCTCTCATCTATCTCTCTTTCTCATCTTCATTTCTTCTTCTCTTCTCTCCCTCTCCCTCCTTCCCTCCCCCTCTCTTTCTCTCATCTTCATTCACTCCATCCCAATACTAAAAAAAAAATCCAAACCAATTATTCCCAACACTAATTAATCATATTTCAAAACGACCCATTTGATGAATCCCTATTGACCTTTCAGTCGGACACGGTAACCCACTAAACCACAAAATAATACGCAAACGCCATTAACAATAATATTATCAACAGCAAGGAAAATAACACTTTATTGCCACCACTGTTGATAATCACGAAGAATTAGGTTAAATTGATAAGATTGGCTGATTATGCAACGAAAGGAAGTGATTTGTTCGAGCAATCATTTGCACGATTGGCTTTATATTATCTGTGGATATTCACTTATGCAACAGGGTGGGTGTGTGATGCCAGAGATATGTTCATGTTTTTTTTTTTTTTTTTTTTTTTTTTTTTTTTTTTTTTTTTTTTTTTTTGATCGCTAGATATATATTTATATCAGTGTTTTGTCACTGATATTCTGAAAATAGCCGAGACGTGCATTCGTAAGCATAAGGATACGCAAATTTCGACTCTATATATAGAATCGAGAGAGATTTAGGCAAACAAAAAAAAAAATCTATCTGTCTATCTACTTATTTATCTATCTATCTCTATCTAGCTGACTACTCTCTACCTCTCTCTATGTCTTTATCCCTCTCTATAAATTTATTCATGTTTATCTATTTACCTATGTATGTCTAATTATCGAGGTGGCTGTTTGTCTTTCTTTCACTCTCACTTCAAACTTTGAACCTCTTCTTGTATTTTCCCTTAAGTGTCATCTATCATATTTCTCTCTCTCTCTTTCTCTCTCTCTCTCTCTCTCTCTCTCTCTCTCTCTCTCTCTCTCTCTCTCTCTCTCTCTCTCTCTCTCTCTCTCTTCTCTCTCTCTCTCCCTCTCTTCGCTCTCCCTCTTCTCACTCGCTCATCTTCTCTCCTCAATTTCTCTCTCTCTCTCTCTCTCTCTCTCTCTCTCTCTCTCTCTCTCTCTCTCTCTCTCTCTCATCTCGCCTCTCCTCCCTCTTCCTCCCTCTCTCCCCTCCCTCCCTCCCGCTTCTCTTCTCTTCTCTCCCACTCTCCCTCTCCCACGCACACACAGACAGACAAAAAAACCTTCGACAGCACCTGTGTGTTTCCCTTCTACGTGACTGTCTACACGAGAGATCCTCCCGGCCGACTGCCTCCAGATGTGAGGGCGTCCACGTAGGTGAATCCGGCGCGCCCTTCGTGATTCAGGCGCTGTGCTCGTACCGGGGGCGCGTGTTCTTGGAAGCGGGTCTCGGATCAGATCGGTTTCCTGAAGGATTTTTTTCTTTTCTTTCTTTCTTTTCTTCGTTTTCTTTGGTTTTTTTTTTCTTTCTGGCGAGACGTTCATCCAAGCACGTTCTTGTTCCTTTGGCTTCGCCACGTTTCCCCCGTTTAACCTTTCGTCGTTCTTATTTGCTTCTTTGTTTTGGATTCTTTTGTGTCTCTTTCGGTGAGGTTATTTCTTCTTTTTTTCTATCTATTTTGTCTACTTCTTGTTCTTCTCTGTCTGATTTTTCTTTGTCTTAAATTTCAAATTTATTTCTATATCTGTCGGCATATGTTTCTCCATAATTTTAAAGTACCTACTTGTCTATTATTTTTTTTCCTATTTGTTATCCATTTCTCGAATTCTATTCTTCCCTCTTCCTTCTTTTCTTCCCTATTCCCTCTTCTTCTCTTCTCACGTCCTACTTTTCCTTGTCCTTCCATGCCCCAGTGACGTGTCTCACAGAAGGACAAGGGCTTACTTGACACAAAAGGAATCCCCTGACCAAGAAGGCACATTCCCTCCCCTGGCGCTGACTTTCCTGCTCCTCAAGTAAAGAGCATGACATTTATTCTGATTTTAGTCATGATGAAAGCTGGCTGAGTATGTACATCTGTTACTGTATTGAAATTGATGAAAATAATGAATATAATGATAATAATGACAATGATAATGATGATAATGAAAAAGTAACTGTGATGATATGGTAAAGATGATGATGACGAATAAAGGAGTATGTACATCTGTTACTGTATTGAAATTGATGTAAGGATAATAATGAATATAATGATAATAATGACAATGCTAATGATAATGATGATAATGAAAACAGTAACTGTGATGATGATTATGGTAAAGATGATGATGACGAATAAAGGAGTATGTACATCTGTTACTGTATTGAAATTGATGTAAGGATAATAATGAATATAATGATAATAATGACAATGCTAATGATAATGATGATAATGAAAACAGTAACTGTGATGATAATGATGATAAAGATGATGATGACGAAGGAAGGAAAAGCATAGAGACGAGAAAAGGGCAAATTAAATTATAAAAGTTTATTCGAAAGTGAGAGCATTGATTGTCAGGAAGATTACGTCAGGTTTAATAATTATAAAAAATCTGTTTCTTAAAGATGGAAACAGAGATATGAGAA